TTTTTTTTTTTTTTTTTTTTTGCACTGGAGGCAAACTGCCATTTATTGTTGCTTCTCAGTTTTTAATATCTTTATAAGTGTGAAGTTCTTTTTAGAAAATATTAAAACGGATTAAATGGTGTTTTCGGTTTTATTTGGCTACAGGATCTGAATAATCTTTGTTAAAAGAATTTTTGAAGGAGAATATTTAATTTTACTGGGAATTTAATGTATATTTTGAAGAGCTTTGGTGGCTTTTTTTTGTCGAATGAGGCATAACTCGTGGGAAGACATGTAGTTTTGTTAGTCTTAGTATGTGAGTAGCTTCCACTAAGTGGTGAGCGTTACAAAAAACACTTTTTTAGACATGCCTGAATGTATGGATGATTCTGAATGTACATATGATAGCGTTTGTGTACCTGGACCTGATGGATATAAGACGTGCATCTGTGCTGGGGCTTGTCCGCCATGTTAGTTTTGTTAGCATCTTGTTTTTTTCTTGTTTTATGAGATTTTCTGAAATTAGTCAATGGTACTGCAGGAAAATTATAAAGTTTGGTTTTTTGTCGATTTTTACTACTGTTGGTTTAGTTACTCTTATTTTGTATGGACAATTTTGGGCTATTTTTTCTACAGGAAGCATAAGCTAATATTTTTGCATTGTATCTGAATCTTCCTTTTTTTTTTAAAGCTGTTCCTGTCTCTTGTCGCAGCGAGGGTAAGTATGCGGATGATTATTGCTTGTCAATGAGTGACGATTATCGTGAAAAATATTTGATGCCGAGACCGATGTGTAAGACGGTTAGTTAATTAGTTGTTAGTACTTTTTCTTTATTTGATTGTTAAGCTCACTACTTTTCTAAATTTAGCTTCTTGAGCATTTTTCATAATCTATGACTGGAAGGTGTGATAACAATAGAAATCTTAATTGCTCGAACTTTGTGAAGGATAGGAAAAGGGAGTTAAGTGTTTTGCAGGGTGTTTGCGTTTGCCCTCCGATGTTTGACAACTGGCTTGGTTTTGAAGGTTTTGTATCGTTGCTTCCAATTAAATGTTCTAAACGTATGTTTAAAAATTCCTTTTTTTGTTGCTTTTTTGTTCAGAATTATGAAAAACCTTTCTTTAATTTAAGAAATGTGTATTCTGTCAGCGCCTTATCCAAACTTTAAACTTTTATTGTTGAAACTAAGGAATAATGGCATTTTAAGTTTAAAATTTCAGTTTCCTACAAAAATAAAAGGCAAAAAGGAGTTTTCTTACAATAACTTGTTTAACATTTCTTTTAAAAAGTTATTTTACATTTATACAGCTCTTTTGCTCTTATAACCAATTGTTTGTACAGCAGCCAGTTCCAATTTTCTTATTTTCTTCATTTTTTTCTTTTCCTTTTTGCATGTATGTGTTTTGAAAGATGTCAAAAATTTTTTTGCATAACATTGGTAGAACATCAGTTGAGTTAAATCGTTTGCGATCTTATTGAGGAATTGTTACAAGAAATAAAAGTTCTTAGGTTTGTCCAGGTTTATTTGCGAACAAAAAGTTGTAGCTGAGAAGAACCTTTTTGGGAACGTCATTTCTGCTTTTCGCCCAAAGTAACCGTATATCTTCAAAATGCACTTTGGTTTTATTTAATTAATTATGGTCTTGGCGGAAAGGGTCACAGAAGTTTAGTGGGTTTTTATAACTGTTATTGTATAAAAAAATTCAAAACAGACTTTTTACTGTGGACTGCACTATCCTTGTTCTCAAAGGTGAGGAACGGAATTTGTCGACGAATAGCTTTTTTGGACAGTAAAATTTCTCAAAAAAAAAAAGCTTTTTTGAATGAAGTCATTTCGTTTGCAGATTTTTTACCACATATTCGTTTTATTCTGAATGAAAAATTTCATGTTTTTGCTTTTAAAAGTAGTTTAAAGTATTAAATTAATGTCTTTTATTTTTTTTACGTCATCAATGACGGATGAAGCAATTAGTTGCATAAACTTGGCTTTTCTGCAAATTTTTTTTTGAAGAAAGTGAGTCTGCAGACATATTTTTTAAAGCCTATTATCATGCGGTCAGCAAATTTTTTTTAATACTTGCTCAAGAATAGAATAAAAAAAATGACTGTGTTTTCAAATAAATGGGTTGGGCTATCGGTCTGAATTTGAATTCGGTTGTTGTTCAAGTAAAATCTGGTCTTTATTGCATCTGATGAAATAAATATTGGTAAATAGTGCTAAATTTAGTGGTATTTGTTTTTCCAGAGTGTAAGGCTAACCAAAAACATGTCTGTTTAGTGACTGACTTTAGCGGTAGAACTTTATTTTCAGGCGATCTAAGAGTTCAGGGATTTGCATACCCGTCTGATACCGTCTATGTTGGTGGCAATGTAAAGCTGTTTTGTTGTATTAACATCGATCCGCGTTCATTTGTCGCTGAAGATGGGGTAAAGTTTTTCCAAATTTGTTACTTACTGAATACGCAGTTAGTTATGGATAATTATTGCTTGGATTTTAATATTTTGAAAGGTCATCTTGAAAGGATCTTTTCACGAACTATTTAACAGTTTTTTGCTTCAGTTATTTTTTAGCGGAAGAAGTTAAAAGAAGTAAAACTGGAGTAATATTTACAATTATTTATTTATTCACTTGTTTTTTGTATAGTACTTGAAATATTTTGGCTTACTTAGATCTCATTCAAGATTCGCTTTATTCACAACTCGTCGATCGTTCGTAGATCATCGTCAACGCCATTCTCCAATGGTTTTATGGACGGTGTAGAGCCGTCACGATGTTGGCAACTGGATATCAAAAACATACAGTTACTTGATGGGGGACCATACACTTGTTGCGCACATGTGTCACCGACTGCTTCCACTCGTGCTATTGAAGCTAACGATACCTTTGTTTTAACTGTGAAAGGTGATTATTTTTTTGTGAAGGATAGATTGTAAGCAGTTTTTGCTCTTTTTCTGGTTAGGATTCATTTGAACACGTGAACACGAACACACGTATATATAT